CCCGCCGCCCGTTTCCTGTCGTTTCCACCATTTTAACCGTCTTCTGACAACTCGGTGCCCCCTGCGGTGGCTCCTCTGGTGTCTCTCCTGAGGGAAGGGCAGGAGAAGGAGCAGGGCTGGGCAGGGGGCACCGCAAGCCGCTGCTGGAGCTGGCCGTGTTTCCTCCTTTCTCTTTTTCCTTCTCCTGGGCTTCATACAGCCCCGCACTGCTGCAGTTAACTACGTGTCGGTCCGCGTGCCCCGGCTCTCTGCTTCAAACTCTGTTTTTCAAAACTGTTTTCACCAGTTTCTGGTCGCTTGCAAAGCCGGGGTGCTGCGTTCCGCCCCAAATCTCCCCATCTTGCCCGTGTGTGTGATACAGTTGACCAGGAAAAGTGGCTGAGTGGCAAACGCGCCTCGTTTGGGAGCACTTCAGTGAAGGTACCGAAATTGTTGGTGGTGGGACGCTGCGGTGGCCGAAGCAGCTGCTGCCGCGGGCGCGAGGCTGAGCGCCTCTGTCACCCGTAATTGGGCCCCTGATCCCTTCCTGCTGGTGGTGACAAACAGACGGAGGTGCCTGTTGGTCGCTCAGAATAACCCGGTAATCCCGGTATCCCGGGGGCCGTCGGAGCGGCCGCTCCGAGCGGGAGCCCGTGGTGGGAAGAACGTATTCCCGGGCTTCTCTTTTCCAGTGTTCTCGGCGTGAGGCGCTTCTCCCCGGGGGAGATGGGAGCGCAGGGGAGTTTCGTGACCGAACCCCTATTTATAAATAGGTGCCCGTATTTGACTGCTTCCGTAGCTCCGGATGAGCTCAAACAAGCTGATCTTGTTTGATTTGCTGCTTTATTCCCTAGAAAGAATAATCCTCTTCTGAGAAGCCTTATTTTTGTCCTGGGAAGATGCTCCGGAGCTGATGCACATGTGCACCTTGCGTGTCCTGTGCTCCGACCTCCTTCTTTCCCCTTCTTACAGTATCTGCAGTCCGTTTTAGTTCAGAGAGGAAGGGCTGCTCGATGGACCCTTGGAGTGGACACGTTTAAGATCCTTGTCACCATATGAAGCCGAGTGTTCGTGCAGTTGCTGTGTGTTTGGGTGCCAGCTTCTTTTTAATACTAAGTATTATAAGGGACAAAATAAGATGCTGAGCTATCTGAACAAGCATTTGAAAACCCGGCTATTTTTGCTCAGCGTTTATAGTAGRTTCTTTCCCTCTCATGTGGAATGCGGTACCAAAATAACTTGCCAGTCTGTGCGCTCCGTGCGACGCTCCAGCTCTTCCAGCGCTGGATTCCTCCCAAGGCGGAATCAGCTCATCCCGTTTCAGAAGGTTGTTCCCAGCTGTCTCCATAGCCACCTAATGCCAGCAGGGCTCCTGGGCATGCTCCGAGTTCTGAGTGCCTTGGAGCGGGCTCAGGATGAGGGGGACCATGTCCAKGTGCCGCGGGAGGCTGGGAGCGGAGCCGCCTGCTGCTGTTCCCCTTGCAGCTGGCAGGGGTCACTGGAAAGCAATGGACACTTCCCAGTTTCCCAAGTTACCTGTGCTTTCTTCCCGTGCCTTCCCGAAATATTGCATCCCCCTTATTCGTACCAGAACTTTGCTGAAGTGTTTCTGTGGAATAACATGTTTCCTGTCTTTTCCCCGGGATCTTTGTGAGTGAGGATAAAGACATTCAGAGGTGTTTTGGATTCCGTGGGGAGGAGACAGGTGAGAGGCAGCTGCACTGGGTAGGAAGCCAGCCTCAATCCTTCTCCCCTGGAGCAGGGAGCAGCCCTGCTCTCTGACGCGTTATCTTTTGCTTTAAGAAGGAAACAAGGTGAAAGTCTTTCAGGATACCTGTATTGAAGGTGTTTTACCTCCTGCCAGTCCAAGGACAACTGACCCTGACTGCGGGTTTTGGCAAGGAAAAGAGGAGACCAAAAGTTTTCAGCTGGGTATTTACTGTCATAGTGCTCCTGTCCATAAAGGTGCTTCCCACTGGATACAGAGAAAACATTTGAAGGAATCATCCTCAAACTGTCCTCATTTTTTGAGCAAAGGAAAAGAACAAATATTACCAGTAAGGGAAAAAAGGGCTAACAGTAGCTAGGGATACAGTACGTTGTCATGTAATGCTCGGCCTTGCTGCACGTGTCAGCACAGGCGACTCCAAGGGTCCCCTCCGACCTAACATTTTTTGATCTGGTCCAGTCCCATCTCAGGATGGGGCCAGCAGCCCGGTCAGAGCAAACAGCTGCTCGGTGTAGATAGAGATGCTCATTATTTTATCAGTTGACTGGGGAATGTAGGTTATCTTTGTGAGACTTTTTTGTCTCCTTGGRTGGGAAGGATATCAGTTCATAGAAGATTTTTTGGAAGAGTTTGGTTGTCTGTTTGTTGTTTTCCTCTCTCCTCCCATTTCATTGGTTTGCTGGGAATACTCTTCAAATGAAACCCCGTCATACAAAGACTAKCAGATAGCACCCGGCTTTATTTTATTCAAAGGGCCTTGTGAAGCTTGAGGTTCTTTAAGCTGAGTCTGGGTTTGTTGTTTCTTTTTTTCTTACTGTTGTTATGTGTTTAAATAGCTCCTTTCCTTTTGAATCTGCGGAGAATCTTGGCCCTTGTGGCTTCCTGTGGTACTGAGGTAGACAGCCTAATTAGGTGCTGTAATATAATATTCCTCTGTTAGGAGTTTGGCTTTGCTGTCTTTAAGCTTATGTAGTTTGTGAGTGAATCTCCTGTCTAAAGAGAAGCGGTTACTGTGTTCTATTTACTATATATTTTTTACATATTTTTAAAGTCTTAACAGGGGGGTTTTCAACTGTATAATAATTCAGAGTCTTTCTTGCAATTCCAGCTTCCCCCCGATTTTTAAATATTATTTTGCAGATGAAGTATATGCATTTGGGGTCAGATTGTGGATTAGCAGGGTGGTACTGCAGTAATTTCCCTCTCACTGGTCATTTATTGAGGTGTCTCTGGGCTGCCAGACTAGGGTATTGAACAGAAGAGTTGACAGGGTTGCTGAGTTTGCTTTCCTGGTTGCAGGTATCTGGTTTTCCAGGCTTGTGTGGTGTAAGTAGTTCATTTTTCCCCCTTCTTACAGATGCCATTTGCACTTCTGATCTTGCGTTCGTTCTTTTTCTGTGACCTATTCAAAGCCAGAGTTCAGCCACCTTCTTTGCTAACCTGAGATCAATCCTCATCTGGGAACGCGGCTGCGTCAGYGCTCCTGCTCCTTGCCCATACGTGGTTGCAGTGAACACGGCTGGGTTGTTCACAGATCCTTGAGCTTTGGAATAGTAGGGCAGAATATAATTTAGGGATTTCATGTGGGTAATATGTCATAAAAATTCTTGTCTCCTGGTTTAAATAGGGGGAGAGAGGAAACATTTTGAATTGGCGCTTGTCTTAGYGTGCAGTGAACAGAAAGCAGCTCCACAGAGAGCACCCTGGCAGTCCTGGTGGACACCAAGTCACCCACGAGGCAGCAGTGCCCTCGTGGCCAAGGAGGCCAATGGGCTCCTGGCTGCATCAGGAGGATGTTGCCAGCAGGTGGAGGGAGGGGATCCTGCCCCTCTGCTCAGCTCTGGGGAGGCTGCACCTGGAGCATTGGGGGCAGCTCTGGGCTCCCCCGGACAAGAGGGACGTGGAGCTTCTAGAGGGGGTCCAGCGGAGAGCGACAGAGATGAGGAAGGGACTGGAGTATCTCTTGTATGAGGAGAGACTGAGCGAGCTGGGCGTGTTTAGCCTGGAGAAGAGAAGGTTGAGAGGTTGAGATCAATATGTCTAAGTACSTGAGGGGAGAATGTAGGGAGGAAGGGGCCAAACTCTTCTCAGTGGTGGCCAGTGGCAGGACAAGGGGCAATGGGTGCAAGTTGAAACCCAGGCAGCTCCATGTG